CGAAATCAAGTGGACTTGAATAGTCATCAGCAACGATATGGACGGATGTTGGCGGATTTCTTCTTGAAACCCGGAAAAGGTATAATTTCTCTTTATATCTCACCATAACAACTTTCGTCCTTTGAACACCGAATCCTCCTGCTTTTTTCTCGACTCACTTTCGCAATGTTTTGAGGATAGATTTACGAATGCTGGTGTTTTCCGGAAGCAGGGTTTATTTATTAATTAAGTCCTTGCACAACGTTTATGCATCTCTTTTATTAATATCCCTTTGTCAAAAATCCTGAATATTGGATTAAATTGAGGATTACATAAATTTTAATTTTCCCCCAGAAACAAATATTCTTACGTGAGTTGGAATAACAATTCCAGGTACTGTATAACCGGTATACGACCAGGTATACCAGGTCGCAGCATTCATTGTTATGACTTCGCAAATTTCATTGAAATTGCTCGGTTTGTTTTGTAAAAGGAAAGAAACGACGTAGAACAATAGAGACAATGTAAAACAGGCAATGTATAAAACAATAGAGACAATGAAAAACATAGGCATTGTAAACAGTAGAGACAATAAAAAGAGTTTTCATTTCATTTTTTACCAATTAACAACCGTAATAATTGTTGAAACATGGTCCGTAGCATTTCTCGAGAGTTCCAAGTTTCTATGAAGTTCTTTCTTTGGCTAGAAGTGGACTGCTACGATTTTGGCCAACCTGTTACTGGATTGGCGTCATTGGTCAGGACTGTGCTTGGAAAACCCCTGGATAAGCGCGAATGCGTGTCTGACTGGGAACGGAGACCCCTTCGTCGTGAGCAGTTGCTGTACGCTGGTAAGTAAAAATTGAAATATTCTTGCGAATACTCGAAACACGAATTAGAGGTACTATAGTGGAGTCTATGTACCTTTAGAGGAACTTCGAGAAATAACTGAGAGCTCAGCTGTATTTTTAGGAGCTAAGACGCGTTTGCTGGTTGTTTCTATAATTACAGCATTGGATGCGTTTTGCCTGGTGGAAATGTATCTTGCTCTTGTTGCGAAAGCCGAAGATATGCAGGTAGACTTCAGAAGCATTTTCAACGGGGAATGTTTGACTCCGCAAGGATTTGAGGAATTTTCTGCAATGTCGGCTGATATTTTTCAACGTCAGGAAACCGTCTCGGTGAGTGTTTCATTTCATTGCAAAATTTCGAATTTTCTCGTTTACTTTATCTTTCAATTTGTCTCGAGCTTCCATTCAGTTAGACTTTTTGTACGTTTTAATATCATTATTTAAGGAGTTGAAAAGAAAATGATGTAAGATTCTTATACAGTTCTGTTTCTATTGAACGATGAACGTATGTATAAATAAAATTTACCGAAATGCGGAATGGTGCCCTTTTTCTCGTTCAAACTCATTATTAATTTCTTTTAAATTTTCCTCTGAAAGACTTTGAATTTCGACAAAAAGAGATTTCTCACACAATTCCTTTTTCTTTACAAAAAACGAGTGCAACGGAGACACGAAATGGTACATTGTTTTTTGGTTGACAGTTTCTCCCCTTCTATTTTAAAGTTGTATACACTGCATCATCCATGCATGCAACATGCTGTACATTCATGTCTTACTACTGATTACAAAACTGTATTTAAATTTCAGACTGATGAAATTATCCGACCTTTTGGAGCAATGAACGGAATGGATACTCTCGCGGTGAAACATTGGACAAGAGATGGCGATGGCAGCTGTCCGAGATTTTCTCAGCTGAAAGAATACCGATATCAGAAATCCGCTTCTTCAATGTATTCCTTTAGGAGTTTTGACGGGGGAAAAAATTTGGTAAAGTCCATCCGAAGAGCACATTCACTGCCATGCATGGAAAGAACCCGGGAGTCTTGGAACGCTAAATTTCTTTGTGGGGACAATCAGGATTCTCAAGCGTCAACATGGTCGACGCCTTTTCGCAGTAAGTCTCACGCAAAAATGTAAAATTCTTGCTCATTTTAACGCGTTCTCATTGATTATTCAGGGAATACGGTGAACCTTACTTGCCGAGAAGGATCTTCCTGTTCAGATATTCTGGAACCCCGTATTTCCGCTCAATTAGAAAAAGATTTTTGTGTCGATTTCCTGCCCTCCTGCAACAATGTGATGAGAACCGACCCGATGGATTTTCCGGGGAACACAAACACGAAAGACGGTCCTCCTGAATCAATTCTAATGAAAAGGTCTCCTTCGAATCTTTCGGGAGGTATAAAAAATAATGCTGAAAAAAGAATGGAAACTTTTGATGCGTGTGGTAGAAATGTTTTTCCTTTGCCAAAATGTTCGCCCCCGGTTTTTGGTGCAAGCGTTCCCGTGCAACCTTGTGTTCAACAAAGCAATGGATGTTCTTCAAATTGTATACCTGGACCCTCTGATATTGCCCAGGTAAATCTTCGAATGGTTGGCTTTTTTTCAAGAACATGAGCTTCTGGAGAATATCTATTCGAAGAAAAAATTGTGTTCGTTCTGGCGGCTTCACGTTTTTTCGAAATTTCCATAATTCTCGATTTCTATATTCAATTTTTTGCAGACTTTTTTTGGTAGCAGAAATTAAAAAAAGACCTGTTTTCGAGGGCGCCCGGAACTGGGACATGAAACATGCATTCTGTCGCAAGCTCGCAACCATAATTATTCTCTTTCTTGTGAACTTCATGCCGAGCAAATTGCAATATGTTCAAAATTCTGACTATTTGAAAAATCTCGGGAGTAAAGGTGAATTTTAAAATTTGAACATTCGCACGAATGCTAATCCTGATTTTAATCTTTAAATGCTTTGACTGACTTCAGTGATTATTGAATAAAATCAAGGTATGTCGCTGTTTCAGAATTTTTCTCATCCACTCTACAGTTTCTGATTCTCATGTTTGGCCTTGTTTTCTCAGGTATGCTCTGATGGAAGTAGCTGCGAATCTCAGAGGCCGAGAGTGTCTCCTGGTCAGCTACGAGTGATAACAGATCTTGCTCTTCGAGGATTGTGTAAAGCTGCTTCAATTTATGGCCAATTACCTTTGAATTATATCATCAGCTAGAATTTTTTTCTACTTCACAGGTAGGCAATTAAGGTCCTTGGGTGTGGATGCCAAAAGCATAACGGACGGAGAACCGCGTCAGAAATGCGTCGAGTATCACCGTCTTGAAAAACGTGTTATTCTCGCGAAGCAGGGGAAATCGTACCGTGACGTGAGTCAATTTTTATTACTGTAATATTTTAGGTGTTGGTCCTCATGTATCTTCTGCTTTATTTTCGCATTTGTCTGCGTATCGTTGCCAAAGAACGTGGGTTTACGCTCAACTTTTCTAACTTCACCTGTATTAATTATATATTTCCCATTTTAGTTGTGTGGTTATGTGCTCCCGTCTGTGATCCTCTGCATCAAGTACAACAAAGTACCTGAACAAGTGATGCAAGTCGTTCGCGCTTTCAATCTGAAAATCACGAAGGACCAGATTTTTTCTAGATGCGCTGTGAGTTGCCTAGTGCTTTCGAATTTTTATTCTTGGTAGTTATAATTTATAAGGTTTCCAAATGTCTGATTTATTCGACTTTTCAGAGCTGCAATGAGGAGCGGTTCTTGGGAATACACGGACAGGTCATGTCAGTGATGGCCGACAAAGTTGTCCCTTTGCGGCCAATGGATTCTGATGGGAACCAATTCGATGATCGACTTGAAGATTCGTGTGCTCAGCTTTTAGCTTTAGGGAGGGCGAAGAGAATTTGTGGGCTGACTCGAAAGGAAATTGCCGAGGAAACGGAAAAGCATGGCGTTGGCAATTGGCGAAGTGTTGGCCAACTCGGTTGGACTCGGGTTATCGGCGGCTTCGTCAATGTGAAAACCGGGAAGCTTCTGAACGGACGCAGGTTAGCTTGTGGCCATGGTGGAGCGTTACGCGTCGAGCACACGTCGGTAGAGACGAATATGTTCTTCGTTTGTTGCCGTTGTGGGCATGTTTTCTGGGAAGGGTCTCATCTCCGTAATTTTATTCGCACGTATTCGGAAACTTACGGATTGTGTTTGTCAGATTAGAAAAAGTGGAGGAAATTTGAAATGTTTTTCAGTTAATTTGATTCAAAGGAATTGATGATCCAAGTAAAATCTAAAATCGAAAGATTCTGGTCATTTTTGGCGTTTTCAACAATATTCGAGCTGAAGAAATTGAAACGAGTTGGAATTATTTTCTGATATTTTCCGGAGACAGGTACTCTTAAAATGTTTAAACTAAAATTGTGGCATACCATATGTTTAACAAGCGACCCTTATTCCGTTGCCGATGTGTGGCAGATGAAAGCATTTAAGTCCTGTTAAAATTTCAATTTTAAGTTCGAGGCAAATGATCGGTGTTGAAGAACAAAGGTTAAAGAAATAAAACTATCACTTTCAAAATCAATCGACGTCTCAAATGTTCATTTCCATCATTGCGGAGACAAACACGTAATTTCAATAGTATTCAATTCGAAATCTTCGCGCTTGCAAGATGTGATCAGCAATTTTTTTTCTTTTCCATAAAAAAAACTCTTGGGGGGGGGCGGACAGTACTTTACGAAATCGATAATACGAAGAGAAACATCAACCTAGCACAAAATCGCCTAGCAAGGCACGACCAAAAAAATTTCCTTAAAAAAATTTTAAAAACCGGGCTACGTTCTTACCAAATTTTTGAGTGAGTAACAAAGCGCAACACGTAGAATTCCATGCGGTGCAGAAACCCGAATAAAGCAGAAGCAAAACAAACACGTCGTGTGCTATCTTGTTCCTCAGCTTGCATTCGTTCAAACGTTCCAAGTGTTACGATAATGTTTAAAACGCTCCGCTTTCGCGTCTTGTCCGCGGGTAAAAACGAAAAAAAAATCTTTGGCTTTCCTTCAATATACAGTACAACATTTCCGAATCCATTTGCTGATATTGATACGTTGATTGATAACAAAAATTGGTCCAATCTTTTTCAAAGGAAGTGGGAAGAAAAACAAAAAAGAGCAGTTCGAAAAAATGAACTTGTACGTTAATGCGCTTCACACAGCGCAAGAGGAACATTCAACACAAACTGCTCTTCAGCTCGGGGCTGTTGAGGACGTCGAAGTCCACGGTTAATTTCCCAGGAAATTTGTTCGGGTGTGGACTGGAAGTAGGCTGTGCCTCCGTCGATGGCGGCTGGGACGCCGTCGACGATTGCGACGACCCGTTGCCGTTGTTGGTTGACGAAGGGTTGCCATTGTTTCGCGCGTGCCCATTGTACCCATTCTTTGTGTGGAGAAGGGAGTTGGAGTAGCGGTCTTTGAGCTGGGACAGCGCCCCGAGCAGCCGCGAGTTGGCGGCATCCAGCGCCTGGATCTTCTCTTCCTGCGCGTGGATTACTTGTTGCTTCACGTTGATCATACTGGCCATCGTGCTTTGCTCCCTCCTCAACTCGTCCTCAACCGTCAGCAGTCTACTTGATAAATGAAAAATGAATAATTGTTAAAAATTAATGACTATTACTTTCGAGTGGGACAAGAACAGAACAATTCAGGGGGGGGGGGTTTCATTACTTTGCTGATGAACAGTGGAATAAGTCTACCTAGTCATTGATAGCTCAGAAATATTTTTTGGTACATGCATACTAATTCATTTTTGCCCAGCTAGGCAAATAAATTGAATCGACCTCCACCAACAATTTTCTCTGGCATAAAAAACGAAGTATTGCAGTTCGATCCTACTCCCACATTGTTGTTGTTCGACATGCAGTGAAAAATGATGAAAAATCCCCCTGAACCATGGAAACTACACCCACCCTAACTTGAAAAAAAAAAAACCTTACACCATGGTGTACAGGTAGACACTCTCTTGAAAGATTTTCTTCTACACTAAGAAGTGTAGAGAGAGTGCACATGTGTAAATATATATTGAGTTCCCCATTCTGAAATCTTCCATCACTTTCTTTCGCACGGTGAGAGCATACAACTTTTCGTGATGAATTTAGCTGATGTCCATCAGGTACATAACGTTTTAAGCACGTTCAATTTTTTAAAACATCAAAAATAAGAAAAGTAGTAGAGGGGTCTGAAGAATATGACAGAATAGCATAACTCACTTAGCAATGATATGCTTCAGCTGCTCATCACGGTCCGTGTTTCCCCCGAGCGAAAGGGCGCTGTTGGCAGCCCTGATGATAGCTCGACGTCTGTCGAGATACTCAGCGTGCGCGTTGTCATGCGTCGAAAGGTCCCCCTTCTGCAATCGTTGCTCAGCAGCGTTCAACTTGATTTGCAAAGCTTCCATTTGCACACGCAATTCCGCAATCTCCCTCTCGTATATCTGTAATCAACGAACAATGACGCAGGGTTAAAGAAAATCCTAAATGGCCTGGAGTCCGGAATACGATGTCATCGAAGAGACAGAATGATGATGAAAAAGAGCAAAACCATGTAATAGCGAGTCGACTAACCGTGCTGGGATCGTCATTCAGTCCCTTGGGATCCAAGATGACCTCGTTGCTGCGAGAGGGCTTCGCCATTCGACCTCGAACCAAAGAAGTCTTGGATCCGCTGATGGACCTTTGCTCAGCAGACTCCCTCGAGTCGTCCGAGTCCCAGTTCCCGTTACTCGCGGAATTGTGCAAAGTTCCGGTGCTCGTGCTTCCGGTGCTGTTCCGATTCGATTGCTCGCTGATGCATTCGGTCGAAACGCGACGAGCCAACTTGTGTCTGCGCCGCTGAGGCACTTCTGCCGGCATAACTGCAAGAACAAAAAAATATAATTATATTTCTGCAGCACACTCATTTTCATGAGAAAAGGAAAAAATGAATCTTTCTACGAAAATATTTCTAAAATTATAAGGTTTCATTCAATCGGAACGCGCTCAATTCATGAACCAGTGGTAAGAGTTGTGTAAAAATTCAGGGCTCGGGTCGAAACATTTTTCCTAAAAATTGAGGGAAAAGAGGAAAATGCACGTCACAGGCGGGAATATATTTTCCAAGAGATTTTCAAAGTTTACTCGCACATTAATTCTAATGGAAAATGTTGAAGCAATTTTATATCTAAGACTCATTTTAATCTAAGAATTTAAATTTAGTTGAATTTGGGTTCTATAGACGTCGTAATTCGAATTCGGGGGTTCTGATGCTTGAAATATTACAGTTACTAAAAATCGGATGCGCGCCTTCCCAGGGGATACAATTTTTTCAAACTTTTCGTGAAAAACACTGGTGCGCGTCTCACTCTAAGGCGCTTGGCGTTGTTTTACCACCAGCTGTTCAAGAGTCGCTTCAATTCTTCTGATTAAATTTTTTCCCCCGTCAAAACTTCGGGACGCATTCTTGTTTTCGAGCACCGAAGGAAATAAAGCCTCACCAGGAACCGGCGCAGCCTGAGACGACAAGGATTGGACGCCGAGTCTGGGCGACCGTTGCAGTCCGACACGAGGGTTAGTTCGCGGCACCACGGGCTTGAAGAAGCGGCGCTCCCGCGGCGGAGTATCCAGACTGCCGCTCTCCTCCGACGACGTGGACAGTTGATGCGGCGCCGTTGCTGGTCGGTGCAAGAGGCGAAGGTCCTCGACGCTTTGCGCACTGCTCAGCGAGCTCGACGGGCTGTGCTTGTTGCCGTGGCCCAGGTTGTACATGGGGTTGTTGAACGCCAAGGCGGATACAGTGGCGCCGTAGCGACCGTCCTTGCAACGTCCTATGGATAATGAAACATTGAAGGATGAAAATACGGGAATGAAAGCAGGTTGACACTATATTTCAACAACAATTTTGTCTGCGTGACCTTTTTGTTTGTCCCATAGGCGTCTCTACCAATATTATGGAGGTTCCCTGAATTTCGTTGTAGAGGGGAGTTCACCTGTACAAGAAATTTACTATTGACACGAGCGGAAATTCATTTCTAATTTGAAAGAGCTGTGAACTCAGTTGCCCGCATTTGCTCTAATGCCGTATTAACTCGAGTACAACTCGCCGTTCAGACGCACGCCAAGGTTTTTCAGCCTAAAATATTGATTAAATTACATCCCTGAGTAAAACATGCATCCAATTTTGAGATACTAAAACTGCAACATTCCAGAAGTACAAACGCCCGAATTTGAGTTTTGACATGAATTGAACAGGAATTAAACTAATTCAGTAGTTTTACATGAAAATCAAGTTTCTCTGAAAAAAAGTTATCAGATTTCCTATTAAAATCTAGTATAATGGACACCCACCACTTTTTTTAAATGTATAACAGACTATGACGCGCACTCTATTCCCCCTCAATTTTGGAAAAAGGTGCGCCTGGTATTCAAGTAGATAACCTTATTTAGACGCACCTCTATTTTACGGGCCTTAAAAGAAAAAAAAAACTTGTCTGCTAATTTCAGGCGCATTTCCCCGCAACATTCCTACTTCACTCTCTTAATCGGGAGATTTCGTGGATTCTCTTCATACTTGATCTCAAGTTATTCGTAATTCTAATTTTTAAAAAGCTTATACACCTCGGGACGAGGATACACGAAACCATCGTTCAATCGAAAATCCCAACTCACCAGAAACGTGATGGTGTCCGTTCCCTTCGTGCAAGGAACCAGCTTTGTGGCTCCCGTTACTGGCAGCATCGTGGTTGATCGTAGGATCCACCGGACTAGAGCTCTCGTAAGCAAAGCTTTGGTACCCGGACGAGGCCATATTGGACAACTGACCAATGCTCAACTGACTTCCACGAATGTTCTCCGGAGCAGCGTCGTTGCCGCTCGAGTGGCCCTCGTTCACCTCATCAATGAAACGCATTCGTTCCGCGTAGTCGTCGTGGTGTCCGTTCCCGTTGGCGTCGACAGACCCGGACTGACGATTCCGACCATAACCCAAGCCCACGGGGAACCCGGGTTGTTGCTTGTACCCGTGATGCCCGTAGTAGTGCGCCTGTTGATGAGTTCTCGGAACTGGGCGACCTGAAAAAAAATCACGTTTTCTTTCATTATTTTGGCCAGGATTTTCGGCGGGAATTTTAGTTTTGATAGGGCCTCATATTCCGTTTTTCCTCGGGTACCACGCGCACCTTTTTCCCCAAATTCAAGAGGAAAAGAAGGGGGAGTAGAATAAAATTTTCGAATAGTTTTATAAATTTAGGTTCCTAGAATACTTGATTCTAATGAAACATTTTGGGCTACATTCGACAAAAAAAGTTGCGTTAAAGCAAAAAATTGAATAGTACTGTACCTTATTTACTTGAATACCAAGAATCCTTCAGTAAGACACACCCCCTGGATTTTTAGCTAAAATTTTGAGGAAAATCTTATCCCGGCATAAGACGCACGCCTTAGTATTCTAATTTAGTTTGAAAATCTAAATTATAGCCCAAATAAGAATTGAAATCAATGGCGATTTTTTTGTTTCATTCAAATAATAGTATCATTTAATAGAGAACTCAGATTAAAAATTGAAGGTAGGGAGAAAATTTTCATATTTTTGAAAATTTTCCGTTTTAAATTTCAACTGTGACTATGAAACAACGCACCTCATTTTTTGCCCAAATTTACCGTACTAGAAAAAATGTGCGCGTGATACTCAAATAAATACTGTACAGTAGTCAAATTCATGTTCAATTCTTTTCTAAATTAAAATTTGGGCTTTCTTACCTTTTAAATAATTTGATTTTAGAGTCACTAAAATGGGTTGCGCGTCTTACTCGAGGATAAGTTTTGAAAATTTTTATCTGAAAAACCGCAGAGGGCGATTTTTGAGTGAATACGGTAATCACCAAAACATCACCACCCTCCTCCACTAATTGGATATTTCTACTCATCTCAGTTTTCACGGAGACCCGAAAACTAGCATTCAAAGAGCAACAAGGCAACTTCGAGAAACTTCCAAATCGAAAAAATGCGAAAAAAAGTAAAGACGTTTTTACCTTCAGAATCCAAGGCACTGAAGAGAACGTAGTCATCAGCGGTGTTCAGGTCTCGAGCAGGACGCTTGCTGCTCCCATTGATCAAATACGTGCTTCTCGGCAGCGTTGCCGACCGCCCAGCAGGCGCCTCGTCATTCTGCTGCAACTGCTGCTGCTGCTGTTGTTGTTGCTGCTGCTGCAATTGCGACACTCGGTCTTGCTGTGCAAGCTGCTGCTGTTGTTGTTGCTGCTGCTGCTGCATAGTCAGAGACGAAACAGCGCGTCCGTTGACAGCGGCGACGGCTACATCGTGACCCAGGGAGGTCGGGTCGTTGTAGCGGAAAATGTTTCGTTGCAGGCTCTGGAAGCCCGGGGTCGAGATTTGACGCAAAATATTCGAGTTTGGTTGCGTCAGGGATGCTGAGATTCCGTCCAAGATTCTTTGCAGTCTCTCGACTTCGTTTTCGTGTCGTTGAATTTCCGGGTGTTGCTGATATTAAAAAAGATGATTAAATTTTAAAATTCGGTCGACATCAAAAGTATCTTAGTTTCCTACATCGTATTTCCTAAAATCAAAGTTAAAACCTACCATAATAAAAGCCTTAATCAAATCACCTGAATTTAAATTTAGAATGAGTCACAAGAATTTCAATGACTGGGACTCATTATAACATCGCGTTATCCAATTCTTGAAATCTGATGAAAATTTTCCTATTCCACCCCGAGGTTTATTTTTCCCTTAGTTTGAGTCACAGTGAATTTTTGGGACGAAAACCAGACCAGTCATTTCTTGGGAGAAAAAAAAATGGTACTATACAGAATTTTCTTTCTGAACACATAGCTTCAGAAAAAGTCAGCTTACCTTCGTTGCAAGTTTCGGACTCGTCTCGCTCAACAAAGTGTGCAAAATTGACAATTGTTTGCCCAGGTCAATGTACCCATCAAACTCGGGCGCTCTGGAATCTTTGGGCAATGGACTCTGCAAAACAAAATTCGAATATTAGTGATTCAACTTCAACATCAAAGATCAGACAAACTTACAGAGATCTGCTTAAGGAAAGTACGCATTGTAGGTGCCTCTCGATCGAGGAACGGATTCAAGAATTCCATGAAAGACTCCTTGCTCTGGAACTGAGTAAAGTTAGCCAGTGTTTGCAGCGTCTTCGCTACTAGTGTCAAATGTCTGGATCCTTTCTCATCCGGATATTCTGCACAGACACAAAAAAAAAAAAAATAATAATAATCCGTGGTTTGGAGACCAAGAACAACAGCCGCACTCCTTTTCAAACATACCTTGGGTCAGGTTGAACAAACTCGGCGACAAAATCGCAGGGCACAAGAAGCGTAGGAAAATAGACGCCGAAATAAGATGATCACTCAGCTCCTCTTTGCCTCTCGCCTTCAGTCGGCTCCGCAACGTTGCGAAACAATCTCGCAATTCACTAAAATTAGATGAGATAAAAAGAGTATAAGTACAGTACATTCTTTTAAATCCCACACGACACGACCGAGAAGCAGCCGCGATTAATCAAAGACGTCGTCTCGCAAAACGGATGACGAACTCATCCAGGAAAGATCTCAGATTTCGAGAAATAACGCGGCGTAATTCGACACAGGACGACAAGAGGGCTTTACTCACACAGGGAATACAGCGAAGGAGTTGTAAATGCGCGTCCAGAATCGTATTACGGCTTGTGCCAGGTTCGTCTGGTTCTTCACGAGAATACTTTGCGACGGGATTTTCAACGGGTCAACTTCGCAGTCGAGAATGCCGGCATTATTCGGACTGCCATTTGCGTTCTCGCCGCTCAGCAAAGCCCTGATCGGCTCTCGTAAAGTTTCCCTCAAATACCGTTCTCCAACCAGCTTCATGTATGCCTCCATGGCCTTCGTGGCCAACGAGTTTCCTCTGAACGTCAAGTGTTCGTCATCTACGACAAAAATGAAAATGCACAAGTCAAACAACATGCTTCTTTAGCTTCAACATATTGTCAAAGAACGCCACATTTGTGTGAATATCGGCCGCAAACGAGTTTCATCGGAAAATCTGAATGCAAAAAATATCCGCAAATAGACCACTGTTGACAGGAAGTGTCCCCATCACGGGACTTGAATAAAATTATTCTAGAAATGAACCAGTTTTTTTCAAGCTTTCAAATGGCTCACTAAAATGAACAGTCGACCAACACTCGCATAAATAATATACTGTAATTTGAAAGAGAAAATACGTACCGACACGCAGGATGTCCATCATAACAATGTCAGCGAGGAAATCTTGGGCTTTGCCAAGACGTTGCATGACAGAGACTAGACACGTGGCGATGTCCTCCTTCGACCGGATGTTGATAATCGGCTCCAGCATCCCACACAGACTGCCGTACGAGGAACTCATGTACTGTAACACAAAGAGACGATTTTCGTTTACAAGAAATGCCCCAGACCTTTGAGACTCCAAATCGAACCTCTTCCAGTGGAATGTCAAGGGACCAGCCAAAAAAAAGCGAGTTGCTGAGGTTTTTAATACATTATTTCTAAGGGAATTCAGGACGAGGATTTGAAAAAATTGATTCAGTAAATACAAATTCGATATAAGGAAGTTTGAGTTATCGAAGTTCAACCATATCTTCCTGTAATATGTTGCGTAAAAAATGAAGTCATCTTCACATCACAGGAAAAAACCAGAATCCGGCCATTTTAGATGATCGCATGCATCACCACCAAAATCAATTATTTAATTTAGCTACGTATATCAATTATCTGACTTAATTTATCAAACGCAGTAAATAACCGCGACTAAATCGCCTAACCTAATGCTAATGACCTCACCTCACCAATTCGAATGCACTCCAAATCAATTCAACAAAACCGTAAATGCGAAATCTATGTGATGAAAACGAAAATAATCGAGTTCGGGACTTCTGTCAATGAAGCCTAAAAAATAAAAGGATTGCGGACCTGTAGGAATTCGTCGTAGACTTCGAGCGGGAGGATGTCGACGGACTGGAATCGACACTTGATCCTCAACGAGGGCGGATCTCGCGAAGATGACGAGGAACTTCGGCTTTCAGGCTGAACCATGTACCACTTCTCAATGAGGTACCTGGATGTCACCGAGTGAACTGGTATGGTTACCGTTCCTGAAACCAAAGATTCCAATCCCGTCGTGAGAACAAAACGAATCACGGTATGTTACTACAGAGCAAAATAAAATTCGCTCGACCAGTTTGTCGAGATACTGACCGACTAGCGAACTTTTGTCCTTCCGCTTCTTCTTCTCCCCTTCTCGGAAAAGACTGATGGAGATGGAGGACACGTTTGGCAAATTCGAAAACTCGAATTGCTCGCCCCAGAAACATAACTCGCTCTTGGGCTTGGAGGACGTGCGAGCATACAAGGTTCTGTCCAGGCTCACCTCGCAGAAATACCTGGGATTCAAAATTGAAAATTAAATCAAAGAACACATTCATTTCAACAATAAATTAATTTCCTCTCGACTGCCATCAAATTGTCAGAATACTATGCCATTTAAATGGCTTTTCAGTTTTGAAAAAAAGGAAGTTATTTCACTTCTAGGGATTTCCTTCCTCTTAGAAATTGCTTAATATCGTAACGAATGATGCAAATTCAATCATTATTGAGATGGTTTATTTTATTTTATTTTTCATGCGATGAAAACAGCCGCAAATTGGGAATTCAATGGACTCGAATGATGTTAACGAAGGTTTCTTAATTTTTTTCAAATGAAACTATTGAACAATTCATTCATGAATAATCTCACGGCACTTTCGACGGATCAACGTTATTTAAATCGGAATCCTACAATAATTCCACAAACGATAATTCAAATAAAACCTTTAAATACTTAAAGAAAACAATACCTTTCCTTAAAATTCGTCTACGTATTTTGGTCGCGCAAGCTCTTTCAAGTTTTCAAAGAAAATTTTATTTTCCCCAAGCTTATATTTTCTTCAAGTACTGAGAGGAAATGTGTGACGACAAGATGGCGTCTGCATCCGGTTTTAAACCAAGGCGTGAAAGAATTAAGGCAAACTGACCTTTTCTTCGGGGCGATATTCTTTGCCTCCAGTACCCATATTTTCAGCGAGTTCTCTTTCCGCCGCATGTGTTCCTGCTCCGGTTGAATAGATCGCTTGATGCTGTAAATAAACGCAGAAATTTGATTTTTTTGAGTCTTCTTTTGCGATTCGAAACGAAGCGATGAAAGCAGTCGAATCGGTATTATTTTTTTTCCTTCCTTCGTCGATCAGTTGAAAGACTGTCCATAAAAAGGTGAAGTGCACATCAGATACGCCGATTTAAACATTTAACCGCGGAAAAAACGCACTCAGGCAGGCCGAAAAAAATATTTTGCAATTTATGAAACGACAAAACAGGCCCAAAATAATAAAGACCATTTCGCGTGGTTTCAGAGAGAAAAATCGAAAATGGGACAAGAATGATCTCAAAAAGTTATTGCCAGAAAAAATAATGTACTGTTAGCAAAACGATAAATCCATTCTTTTTCTTCACCGAAATTCGATGAAATACACCATGTTTTTTTTATCGCCGGTAGATGCCACTGCTGATCATGATCGCATTTCTATTCCACAACAACTCATGTCATCTGATTCTGAATTCCTTTTCTTTCTGCTTGGAGGGAATTATCTTTATATCAGCGTTGATTGCTTATAATTTGACTCGTTTGATTTGCACTTCAGTTTTCAAGACATTGAAAACGCACATAAAATGCGGGTTTTTCAACTGCGCCTCAAACGTCAAACGAAACCGTTATTTTTCAGCCGGATCTACGGTAATTCAGGTCATCTTTTGTCCAATCGGAAAATCGTACCGAAAATTATTTTTGCCCTTCTTTCTCCTCCACAAAGAAACGGTTGATGTAGGAAGAAAGAGTGTGACTCGTGTTCATGCTCACTCAAAATGATTTTCACAAAAAAAGAGTGTCATTGATGAGCTCATGACGCGGGGACGCAATAATGTTCCGAAACAAATGACGAGATCGCATGAGTGGCATTGAGAACAATATCACCGCCCATTTACCCAACCTTGGCCTGGGGATGGAACACTTTTATAGTGTCTATAATTCTCTAAGCAGGGTGGAAAAAAACGCGGGATTCGTGGCGTAGTGAGTGTGTGAGTGAACCCCGAAGGGGATTTTCTCGCGCGTGACGCGATCGGAAACTAAGGTCACGTTTCCCAACATCGAGGAATCAAGTCGAGGCTTCATTTCTTTTTATGTTTCTTTATTTTTGTGTTGTGTGTTTCGTCTTCTTTCTACTCCCAAAGGCGAGTTTAATTAACTCCCAGGTGAGAAAAGGCAGGCGTGGGCGTCGTGACCCGCGTCGAGGCATTCCTCAAACCGAGGCAGCTTGTTTGAAAAGTTCGAGCCCTGGAAATGCGAGCTGGGGTGCTGTGTTCTATCTCACGTTGAGTGAGACTCAGAAGACGAATCGTAGGACTGCTTCGATTTTAGGGATCAAAAATGGCGATGAAAAAAAAACATGGGTTCCGAGTTCGATTCCGGAAAAAAATATTCAGGACAACGCTGCAAATTTATAGTGCCCTTCGTGAGAGAAATTCTAGTTCCGGCTAATCCCACAAAAATACAATATTTTAATATTAGAGATACAATATCTAAATGGCAACTTGGAATTCCCATACTGGGAAGAAGCACGCAAAAATGCGGTAAGTGCGCTAATTTCCAGTTTGTAGTTCTTAATTTGTCTCCTGATTTTCAAAATGATGTCGCAATACTATGTAAGGTGAACACACTTTAAAATAGTTCAGACTTGATTTTCAGCAATGGTGCAGTGGACGTTCAATCCTTAAGGGCATCTACTTTTGAAAATAAATGTCAATACAATCGTACTCTGAATTCCACGCTCTTCAGATGAATTCTCCTCATTTAAATACATTTTCTCAAAGAACTTCAAAATAAATTTATTAGGCTGACTTCGTAAAACTGTTTCTTGTCCTGTTGGCGATTCAGGCGACACCTGCCGGACATCCCAAAAGCAAGGACGAGCTCGGAAGTGGGGAGTAACGTTCCTCCTCATTATAATTAACTTATTTAAAATATATATTAGAGAAAAACTCGTCGGGAATCTCGCGCCAACTGGTCCGCTAATTAATGGCACGGGATCGCGAAATGAAACAGCACTGCACCAGAAGAAATTGACGCTGAAGATCGAAGGCTTCACGCAGCTGTGCTTCGTCCTCGACGACGTCGCGAGAAGATGAAATTCAGCACATTAAAAAGAAAAGGAGAAGAAAGCGGGAGAAACTTGAGTAATGAGACTCGCTGTGCTGTTGAGAGCATTTCGCCCTGGCTTATTTTCTCTCTGCCAACTTCCTCATCCTGTGATACGCAAGGAAACAAAGTCCCGCATCTTTTTTTTCGCACTTGTGCCGGGAGCGTGACTCACTCACTCACTCACTGCTCGTCTCGTCGAATGATCGTAAAAAAAATAAAATAATTTAACTGAAATTACGGAATCGAGACAAGAAAAAGTGCCACGACTTTCATCGGCGAAAGCAACCGAACAGCTGACCATGATGATCGGAAATGACGCGCATCGATTTCAATCGCCCCTTTCCATTCAATTCAGTGACTCAACGCGGGAAGGTAAAAATATAAAGGTACGGTAACTTTTGTTCAACCGAAAGCTTTCCTTTCTTCGATTCTCTGAGTCGAGAAATTTCAAAGCAACCGCGAAAAATTCAGTCTTCAGCTCCCGAAACAGGATAAAAGAATCCCACACCCACAGAACATGAAACTGTCCAACTCACAACATTTTAACCCAACTGAAACTGACTTCCCATTTTTTCCCCAACCAGCACGTCAATATTTCACGAGAAATTTGACGAATCCGAATACTGTACTGCTGAAAACATGAACTTCCCATGCCAATATTTTCTTGGGTTTTCTTCGGTAAATATGCTGACTACAATATTAACGAACTAGGAAGATAATTCCGAGAAATAGAAAACCTGAATACATTTAATTTTTTCTAAGAAAGTTTTTCCAATAAAGAATTGGTTCACCATTTCCCATTAGTATCAAGTAAAAAGCGCACCTGATCTTTTAAAACGTTCTGAAAAATTTAAACCCGCCTATGAAGCTCACTCCCCCTTCTTTCTTTTTTCTTCTTCTCAATCGCAAAAAAAGAATGTGAGCGTGGTACTCGAGTATAATCGGTATTGTATAAATTACTCGATGAAAATAAAATACAGTACAGTGAAATGGGGAGCAGGGAAAGCCTCTCTCTCACCTGTGGACCCAACGGTCCCGTTCAGCGGGTCCGCGACACGCAAAGTAGGCCGTGGCGCCGGCGTGCGGGGCGGACACCTGGAAACAGTGCTCCTGGCCCAGCACGGACGGATGCAGCGCCTGCACACGCACTTCCCCAGATGCTGGCCCCAGGTCCACGCTGCTCAGCATCAACGCCTGGGCCGGACTCGGCGGCGGCGACAACAGCGACTCGTGCGACCGCGACGTGCGCAACCTCGGCGCCCGAACACTGCAAATTTCACAAAAAAAGGAGAGAAACAAATCAATACAATGATTCTTATATAAAAGAACGGCTTCTTCAATGAGTTAAACGCGGCACACGAAGTCATCGCGAGGCGCAAAAATTCATCATTGAAAAAAAAATCATTCAAATTCAGATTCAAAATTTGGACCCCTGTTCATTGCTCCATACGCGAAAGAAATCAAGAAATGTTCTTTTAACAATAACAAGCAAACGGACACTGCAAATTTCACCAAGGAAGATAATCCAATTTAAAAATGTGTGCAATAATTGTACAGGTATGCGATTCTTACTGACACAAGGCGTTTTCAATACTCGGTTGCACGCGGCACACGAAGTCATCGCGGTGCGCAGAATCATCATTGATAATTGAAATTCAGTTCCGAAATTTGGACCCCTGTTCATTGCTCCACATGGGGCGAATGAATCACGGGACGTCCTTCTTGTAAAATGTGAATCAAATGTAGGCTAAATATGAAACCAACTGAAGTACAACTCAATGATTTAAGTAAGAGGAATTAGATTTAAATGTAATTTTAAAGGTAGGTTTCGTTGCAGCAGATTTGAAACATTAAATTTGAGTTTCGATAACGCTTCATTTTGCTCCAATTCAAGGCTGAATTGGAGCAATCTGAATTATATCCACACATGGTCAAATTAAACAAGTAAGTCGATGAATGACCTCAGACTTATTTGAAGACAACTTCAGCAAGATTTTCCTTTCAGCCAGTGATGATCGACCGCCATTCATAATTGTTCTCTAGGAAATCAGACTCCCGAAATGGTCTCGACAAGCATGATCCGTGTTTTTTTTTTCCTTTTCAAAACCTGAAAGTCGCTGTTAATTGATATAATCGAATTCGGAGTGATTTGAGAAAACGGTAGGGAATCATTTCGAATCACATTGGAATGGGACATGATTCTACGTTCATTCCTATCTCACCAGTTCCAGAAATTAGAGGAGTATTTCGTCCAAAAAGCCTAAACTGGAGATAATTCCGGAAATAACAGGAGTAATTTGCCCAGAATCCCTAAAATTCTTGTGAATGGGAATAAAAATGAGTACTCGTTTCCGCCTATTATTCGTCGACGAGAGAGATCGAAATTCAATATCATCCGAACACGACGATTCCACAAGCGCCATAAAAAATAAATAACGTGGCAATCAAAGTCGATCTGGATGACAGCCGAGAATAAAGAACGAAGATGCACCTCAAATGTAAAAAAAAAAAAAAACATCTGCACATGTACGATTCTTGGGTGCTTGAAAAAGAAGAGGAAAAAAAGGCCACGATTTTTCTTCATTCGCCCCGAGAAACGCATCGTGAAATCCGAGTCGAAATCACGAGTTTGCCCGTGACGCAACAACTCATCCCCTCATCTACTTTCCGGCACGAGAAAACATCAAGTAAACTGGAGCTATACCGAATCGCCTCAAGGATGAGAAGGGAGAAAAAAATTGACACGATGTAAAATAAGAAAAAAAAAGCAAAAGACAGAGAGGTAAAAACCAGAAATAAACGAAATGGTCGTGATCGGCGAATCAACCTTCCTCGCTGCAAACAATCGATCACGAGCCACATTACATCACGAGCGCACGATGAGTCCAGTTACGATGATCTTTCATAAAATCGCTGTACTTTTCAGCAGGTCGAACTTGCACATACAACACGAATATGTTTCCGATAATTCGTGTCTCACACACACTGGCACTACCCAACGTCTCGGCAACGAATTAGACAGTTTGAGAAACATTGATTGGAACGTTTCTCAGACAAATCGACTCTTACAACTTTAGAACACTTACTGTTCTTGTATTCATCGCCATTTCCAAAATGACAACTAAAATAAACTCACTTTAAACCGAACAACTCGAATGCATCATTACCTGCTTGCGCAAGAAACTTGGAAAATGCTTCCCTAATCCATCCAAAAACTTGACTAAAATTAACCGCGACTCAAACAGCCAAATTATAACTAATCTGATATAATATCCCACACCTGCTTCATTATAAACCAAAACAAAAATCCAAGCTGCAATCAACCATATATAACAACCCTAAATTGATGCTAGTCGCGTTAAACCTGACCAATAACATAAGAGTTAAGTCACGCCAATATTAAACATGAGACCTCAGTCCAACCTAACATAAAATTTATAATTGAAGTAACCTCGGACTCAAGCCATCAAGCAAAAAGAACCTTGTAATTTTAAAGTACAGTAATATCCTGCGTGATTTAAAAAATATCAGTATCTTGAACGTAGATTGACAGATCGGCACAATATTGCAGTACAGTACAGTATAACGAGTAAGTTCTGACCCAAAAAAAAAACAACAACAAAAACAATGCCCAACCCTAACTTGAAACAGTCGAAGCAAGAACACTCCCAAAACGTAAAATGACAGACGCGGAGGAAAATACAAATGAATGCATATCTAAAGAAAAAAATAATGATAAAACGACGATAAAAACTTGAGGACGCCCCCACAACAACAACGGGGCTGTCGGCGTACATGACAGCTATAATGAAAACGGGTCCGTTTCGCAACAACCCCAAGAATCGATCCCGCGTGATTCCCGTTCGCCCCGTCGCACACACAACCGCCGTCAAAGTGGCAGTTTCCTTTTTATTTTATTTTATTTTTTCCATTCCTCAGAAATGGGGTCCAGGGACCGAGGGAATTTGAGGTACGGACACGTTTCGAATTTCGGCGCCCACCCTCCGACAATTATCCCGGGCACAACAAAACGCCAGGTGACCCGGAAGGCTGAACTACTTTTTTAAAAATTAAAATAGAAAGGAAGAAGAACCCTGGCTCTAATAACACCCAAGTTTTCCACCGGCTGCTGCGTTTCGACCAGAAGCACTGAAAATACCCGCGCAATAATATCACGGATATTAGAAAATGAGATCGGTATTGATTATTTTCCCACGCGTTCTAACGGCATTTGCGTGAATACAAACGGCAGTACACTTCAACATTTTCAGGGGGAAAATGCGCCGAATAACATGAACAAATTAATTATACTTGATCTACGGAACTTCATCGAAATAAAAATGGAATGACAATTTTTGCGAGATAGAACAAAAATGCATAGCCCGTCGAAACACTAGCAAATTCTTTCGTAATGATTTTTGTTCTTCTCACGTTCTCTCGTTTTGATACCTGCAATCAACTTCATTCAAGATTTCACATTTGTTATAATAAAATCGGGGGCTAAATGCGGCTAAAAAAACGGCAACTATTGTAATTTGTAGCCCCAAAATTTCACAAAAAATTACCGACTGCCAGTCATCAACAGATCACGAAGAAAGTGGGAGGGAAAAAAACGTTTCTCAAAAATAGCGCAACGAAAAACTGCGACTGAAATTGGAGAGCTCCGATATCAGATATCACTCATTCGACGCAGAAGTTTACCTACCTTCCCCATTATTTTTTTCAAACACTTCCTCAAACCAGCTTTGGGTTGAAAAAGGGGGGGGGGGGACGAAAGATCGCAATATCGAGCAAATACTGACTCCTTCCACCGCCGAAGAAAGTCGTTCAACGATAATTAAAACCAAAAAAATATTTTTTCCCGTCTTGAATTTTCATTATTACTTTTTAAATCTTGATACACAAGCGGAAATGATTGGAAAAGTCCAGGACGGTGGTTCATAAATCAAATTTGTAACGTTCAGTTGAAAAAAAACTCAATGTTTCAAAAATTACAGAAAATTTAAAATGATTCTGTTCCGAATATTTGTTTCATCGGTATAAGGAAGTATGAATTCTGCAACCACCAGTTTTTCAATTTCTGCGATATTTTCTCTTGTCCTTGTGAAGTAAATTGAATAGTCTGAGAAAAATCGATCAGCCCTAAAATTGTATTTGCAGCAAGGCTGCATGAAATTGCGATAGGAGATTTGATTTCAATCACGTTAGAATAATAGTTTCTTTGCGCTAAAAAGTCGCAGAAAATATTCAGGAACTGTCTCGAAACAAACCCAGCGGGTCACTCAGAACAACGGAAAGTTCCAGGTCATTCTAAACTCAGACTTCACTTTTGCATACGAACTCCCTCAACCCTCGTAAGATAAGTCAGTGGACATTTTTATTTGGAATATATTAGCCTGAAGGGCGCGATGTGGCATTACAAAGGCTATGAAACCTCCCAGAATCGGCAACAATCGAAAGACAACTAAATGAGCTTTCATTTGAAATACTGTATTCTTTTCCACGGACTAGCTTTAAAATGTCGCACGATGCAACATTTTCTCGACTTCTCGGTATTTTAGATACGTAATCCCCGGCATAACAGGGCTTTTTGCTTCACCTGAACGACCAAACTCCTTCCGCTTCGTGATAAACGCGGAACTTCGTCACGCTATCCCAAAAAAAAAAAATCGCCGATGCAACCGCATTTTTACAAACTCCAATTTCGACTTCCCAGTGAGCAAGGAATGGCACGCGTCATGGAATAATAATAAAACAGGGAGGGGTTTCTCCCTACCCCCCTAAAAAAAAAAATCGCCGATGCAACCGTATTTTTACAAACTCCAATTTCGACTTCCCAGTGAGCAACGAATGGCACGCGTCATGGAATAATAATAATAAAAACAGGGAGGGGTTTCTCCCTACCCCCCAGGGGAATTTCCGCGACAAGAAATCATCATCTAATCCCAAATTACAACGGAAAAGAAAATATTATTCGGCAGATAGATGAAGCAACGGGCTTCCACGGTCCGGTGCTTTGGATGATGCCAACCATGTCGTGGGCCCCCCCTGTGGTATGACACTAACTACTGGCCACGAACTGTTCAGCTAGGAAAAAAAATAAAAACACCCCGTTTCCACTCCCTGCCTATATTTGATCACTGTTCAGTACCGTGTGCGTCAATCGATCATCATCCGGAACGGAGGAATTCCCGTTATAACATAAACGATATATTCCAGCGACGTTACGTGGCAGCATTTTTTTTACACATCCAGAGGAAGAAGTCGTAATAATGCAACCAATAATTTGAGGATTTAATAAATTCCTCAAGAAAATGATGTGGCTCATGAGACGGCAGCAATTTTGAGAAGCACACAGATTTGTCAAGCGTCAGAAATTCAGGCACATTTTACTTTCGCATGTGAAGATGAACTTCTGGAACGTTCAAATTTTTTTATAAGCAAGCGATTCGGTTGATTTCACTTTCCCTATTTACTCGGCTCCTTGAACATTTTGAATAAAAATCTGGTTTTTAACTGTCGTACCCTGTAACTTAAATTTGTAGAAGGGATTCATATTCAATTGCATCTACGACGTTTTCATTAGAAAGGTTGCGTTGGTCAGAAACAAGCATGTGTTACTGTATCAACGGATCTGAAACGTCATTCAACCAAGATTTTAGGCCAACTCATGTTTTAAAAGAACAGCTTATTTTCACACTAAAATACGATAGTGTATATTTAGCTTGAGAATTCGTGGAGATAACTTCGAATTCCACGTGTGCAGGTTTCAAAGCGTGACTTGAAACAGCCAACGCTTTGTGCAATAAACTAGAAATTGTTTTCCCCTTGTCGTCAAAAATACCACGGGATTTCTTTATAATTGTTACAAGAGGAACTATGTAGTTCTTACTGCTTAGCCTCAGTTCTCAAAGGGGCTCCGCTAAATGTCAAAGTGTTTAGGTGCTCTTTTTATGGCTCTGAGAGTATTTTAAGGCGCTCTTTACAAGTCTCTAAAAAATTCTTTCTCTTCTATTATGGAAGAAAACTATTTTTCTTTTCTTTCAGGCGCCCATTGAACGAACTGCGTAATTTTGTACACACAACTTATCCCACCGCAATAATTGGAATCTTTGCAGCTGAGCTGGGAAAGCACACGAAAGATTTCGTTCTCCTCGTAATCGTGGAAATGAGGAAAATTCGTTTATAATTAAGAGATAATATCAGCAGAAAGAGTTTGCTGAGTTGCACAATCAGGAGTGGAAACNGCAGCTGAGCTGGGAAAGCACACGAAAGATTTCGTTCTCCTCGTAATCGTGGAAATGAGGAAAATTCGTTTATAATTAAGAGATAATATCAGCAGAAAGAGTTTGCTGAGTTGCACAATCAGGAGTGGAAACCTTTTTCGGTGTGCGAATGTACTTATATTTAGAATCAGTGTGTCAGAACACGATGCAAGGCTTGCAAAGGTGCAGCCCACGCTTATTCCGACCAAATAGTCACGGAATAAGTCTAATGATCCAATTATGCAGTTAATGACACACACAAAGAGAGAAGGAAAAAAAGTACATCGACATTTTTAACCAGAGAGACCTTGGAATCGACGAAATACTCGGTGAGGAAAAATTGAGCAAGAAAATTTGAAGGATTGCAGAAGTTATACGACGACATGTAATGATCATTACTCAACACGCAGATCAACAGGAAAAATGCTCAATTGACGCTTCATGTTTATGTGTATTCAAAATGTACCCAGCAATAAAAAAAAAAATATGCACAACTTCACACGTCCGTCAAAAAAATAAATACGAGAGTATTTTGAAGAATTCCTTTGTTTACGGTGTCCTTTATGAGCTGAGTGAGTTTAGCTTTTTACGAGACGT